TATTTTTTTTAATATCTCTTATTTATGGGCATCAATATAAACTTGCCTGATTTATTACTAATTCACATATCAGTTTTTTCAGTCGATAAGTTTTCAATAAACCAGTTATAAGTGAATTATAATTAACATCGCCTTCGGCAGATACATCGAATTTTGATTATAGATTCAAAATCATTTACATCTAAATACGATAAGGTTCTTTTCCCACGATTCAAAATATAGGTGATCTTATGATATTGACCGTTTTTAATTATTTTCTTTATTTAAATATTTTCTATTAACTTAACTGTTTCTTTTATTATTTTGTTAATACTTTGGTAGAATAATTTAAATTGATAACTTTGATAAATGATTGTTATTATTATTTTATATTAACCGATTAAATAAATGTTTGTAAAAAGAAGTGTTAAATTGAAACAATCAATTTTATAACATATATATTTGAAATTTATTGGATAAAGCAGCAGTTAAAAAAATTTAATATTAAAATAATATATTTTTATAAACTTTTTATTTATTGTCTTACTCTCTGCCTACCTTTAACAACAATCTTTATAAATTTTCTTTTTGCTTATTCAATATATAGAGAAATAAAATGATTCAAATCGCAATATTATTTAATTAGAGTAATATTTTCAAAATTATGATTTGAATTTTTGAAATCCTTTATTAAAACAACTTTTGAGCCTTAAGTTTTGCTAAAAATTCTGAAACACTAATTATAAACCTGCCTTTTATAAATTTTTAAAATTTTTTATAGATTTTACAATGTAATTCAACGTTAAATGAGAATCATCCAAAAATTCAATTTCACCGTCTAAATCAGATTAAAAATTTTTCTTAAAGTATTTTTTAATAAAAAAAATTAAACTCGGTATTAATTATAATATACCGATAAACTAGGATCACATATCATCAATTTATATAAAATTATTACTTATTATATAATATAAATTTTTTATTTCCATAATGATACATTATAATAATATTTAACTTGATCTGCTGATGCAGGCTGCAGTATTTTTTTTATTGAAAAGCCCAAATTTTCCAAAATAAAATTATCTAATAAAAATAAAATTTTTATATGAAACCTGATTTGCTATTAAATTTTAATTAATTACGAAAGAAGACGGAATAAAGAATGATCAGAAAAGACTTTAAAGAGTTTTTTTAAAATAAATTTCTTATACACATTTATTTAAGGAGCATCATATTATTTTTTTTGAAAGTTTTTGAATTTAAAATAAAACAATACAATAATCGAATAATTTTAAACAAGGAAAGGAGAGAGAGAAAGAGGAAATAGTATAGCAACCGTTTATACTGAAATATAATCATAAAATGGTAAGTTTTTTTTCACTTAGTATTTAGATAGGATATAACAATTTCAATTTATTATTATTTTTTCTATAATGGCTCAGCATAGAAATGTCAAGAGTAAGAATCCCTCTCACACAGCGTCTACATAAGCGGGAGGGGTAGGATCAATTTGCA